ACTCCATGAAAATCATCTCACCTCTCCGGTTTGTGGCTTTTAAGTCTCTCTTGGTTGTAGTTGCTATGGAAATCATTCAGCTCATCTAAAAGTCCTGCATCCATCATTTCATCTACTCTCTTGTTTAACCTCTCATCTAAAACTGGAAAAAATGCCATTATGAAATTTTTGCATCATTATATAATTTTGAATACGATCATAAATTCAAAACTTCACAAAATAAAATCAAAAGTGCATATAAATATCTTGACTTTCTACCAGCAAAATCAGAATAAGAATTGAGTAAGGAACAAGACACCCCAAAATAAATGTCACTTTAAACATTTTGAATCACTAATAAAATGATAACAGTAACAAATGTTATTTTAATTAAAATGGATAAAGTAATGCCAAGAAAACATGAAAGTAGTTTCTGACTAAAATGCGAGTAAGTTAGTTCAATTTTATTGAATTCAAAAACAAATTGATGTGTATATGCATATTATTATGTCTTGCCCTTGATCAAAATTTGAACAAAATTTGTGAATTGATTAGCATGACCCAGAAAGGATATTGGACCCCAGATATGAGAAGCCTGGATAAGAATCCAGTTTTCAGACTACATGTCTACACCTGTGACATATTTCTATTCGATACATAGTGGCTAAGTACTATTGACTAAAACTGCTACATAAGCAAGCAATGCAGGCTTTTCTTTCAACATGAATAGTTGATAATATAGATTCATTCAGAACTGAGCAGTCTGATTTGCCAAGCCTTGAGCCTGTCAAGAAATAACGTCATAACACATGCAATACGTGTCGTAACGCCATAACGCGTGCAATACGTGTCGTAACGCCATAACACATGCAATACGTGTCGTGACCAACGTGCAAATCATACACTTATTAAATTAACGAGTGTAATTTTATTGTAATTTTCATTTCACAATAGCATAGCAATAAAGATAATTTGCATAACAATTAAATATGTTAATCAACAATATTTTATTCATTGTATGTATTGTTTTAAAAAAAACACATACTCAGTAGTTAGGTTGGGGGGCACTACCCTACAATTTTCCTTGGGGATTCATACAACCATACAATGTCCGTGCATGAACATAATTTCATAATTATCTTCTCATACAGTACATGTTTTGAATATTTGTTTTTTTCAGACTTTATTCTAACCACCCCCATTATAAATAACAGTTCCTCCCTCACTAGTCAGAAACAAAACAAAATCCAAACACTGAAGTGAGTGAGGAAATTGTTCACTTTACGGGTTAGAATTCGCGATCTAGAACTGACTGAAAAATTTTGCTTTTCACTAGCTTTCACTAAACACTGCACTACCTACATGTGCCAACCAAAAAAAACAAACGTCTCTTACTTGGGCATGACTATTATGGGGGAAATGTCAGCTATATTGACTAAAGTCACTGATGAGGTAACTGCAATTTTACATTGAAATCAGCAAATAATATCGTAGGATAAGTTTATTAAAGGTTACAGGTTCATTTAGTTTCTTCAGTTTGAATCAATTTCTATTTGAGAATTGGGTCAATAATCATGTAAGAGTGGAGACAGACAATGTAAAATAATCATATTAACAATTCAACTTTCTTCCCTAGTGAGATATAGCAGGAGTCTCCATAGTAACAAACTAATCTTTTATCCTAAGTTGTTCTGTATCCTAAAGCAGTTTATGATAAAGTCGAAATGATTATTCGGAAAACACTGAATAAATTCCCCAAAGCCAAAAAGCTACAAAACTGAAAAGTCTCTGGCGACATTAGCCTTTGAAGCAGTTACACAAATTCAGTGCGTTGCCATGGCAAGTTTGGAAAAAAATGCAAACTAGGATATAGGAGGGGAAATGACCATCATAAAGATCTTCCACAGATAACAGGATATATTTACTAGAACCTAGAATTCCAGCCACCAATAATGGCCTCCAACTATTTACAACCAAAGGACCAATTACGAGAATCTAAATGAGAATCACAACAAGAAACCTCCACAGGTGCAACCCCAAAAATTTGTAATGCCATAGCAACGAGTTGCAAAAATGCACACACAGACAAAGATTTCAAACAATTCATGGTGATCTATCTTCTTGACAACAGAAGTTAAACAAGTCATTGACCCTATTTTTAGTGCCAAATAATTATTCACACTCGTATGACAGACATGATACAAAGGACCATTATGTTTAATTTACTGGACATACCAAGTTTGAATGAAATATGTCCATGCATGACCATGATCCAGTTCAGAAAATGGCAAAAATGATGAATTTTTAGCACTAAAATTAGATTATGAAACAAAATATGCTTATGTATGATATGACTTGTGTTGTAAATGTCAAGTTTGAATGTGATTGTTCAAAGCATGTAAGAGATATGACTCTGGAACTGGAAAAAGGCAGCCAGTCAACCATTTTTTTGTAAACCGAAAAAAAAAAAAAAAATCTTTTCTGAGGTGGTCTCCAAGTATAAGCCCACCCCTTACTTTGCCCCGACTTTACCTGCTGAGGCACCTGGGCTTATGATCGGGGAAGTACGGTAAAACTTAATAAATTCCAAAGTACCGGGGTATATGCGAGAAGACAGATCATATATAATCAACTCAATAATATATGGCATGGAAGAATGGTCGAAAACAAACAAAATATGACTTATAAAATTACTTTAACGATTCTCTACTCAGAAATCTCTACTTTCCTAGAGTAGGTCAAGTGTTAAACAGGTCAGATGTGATATTAGTTCATCTATTTCATTGATACCATAAAAAAAAATGACTATGTGCAATAAATAAGGCATAGGGATCATTACTTGAACACGTGCAAACATTGAGACCTAACGATGATAACAACGCATAATTAAATGCAAAAGGCTCGAAGGTAGCCACCAATTTGTAAACAACGACATGCTATGACGTTGCAAGTGCAGGTGACGACTTCTGTTTCAACACAACAGTCTATCTCACTTTTCAAGCCAACATGCGTGACATATGTATGAAAATTTCTATAATTTCTTTGTTCATTTTGGACCAAATCTAATTTTGGGGGAAAATATGGAGAAAATGTAAGTTTACTATATTTTTTTGTGATAGGTAATTAGAGTTGTCTCTAACATCCAATACAACAGCATTGAAACAGACATTTATACTGGAAGCTGCAGTGTTAATTTCACTCTATAATAGTTGTCAGGGAGTGAGTTTTTTGTAAACAAACAACGAATTTTACACACATTCTCACATGGGACCTACTGTGAAACATGTCTTTTTGGCAAGCATGTCTTTTTCGCGAATTTAGCGAGAGATCTGATTCGCTAATTCAAGATGTCGCTAATGACTTTATTATCAATTCAAAATGGCCGCCGAACAAACAAATCAACAATGACAAGAGAGATTCGCTAAATCAACATTTCGCTATTATGTCATTTTACTAAAATTCGCTAAAATTGCATGACACTTTTTCAACATGTTTTACAGTATATTGATGCAATAAATCCAAGTTATGAGCAAACTCTTGCCAAGTGAAGACAGTAGTGAAGAAGGGGTAACCATGGAAACAGTAATCTGGTATCCAGGCTGCCCAGGTACAGTAAGACTTAGGGGGGGGGGGGGGGGTTCTACAGTGACCTTCAGGAGATTTTGTTCAATCAAACGTTTCCAAATAAACAAACTTTGAAAATTCCACACAATGAAATGTTAGCAGTTTACAGTGAATTCTTTAATATTGGGATCAGACGATTCACAGCTGTTTTATAGGTTACGTAAACCTACATTTTTAGGATATTTGTGATGTTTTTCTTTTCAGAATAAACGAAACAATTCAAATCAAAACTTATTCAAACCTGTTTCAATACGAGTTAATAAAACACAAACAAATAATCCTACAGCTGTCGCTTGGATTATCGAAGTGTACATTGATATATTATATGGTTATTATGTAGATGTTTTATCACTTTATTATCCCTCCTCATCCACCTCTTTATTCCTAACATCAGAGTTTTGTTGAGATCTAAAGGAAGGTTACATCGACCTTCTGTTACACAACAGGTTATTAGAACAATCAGGCCATCCTGAGGTGTGAACCATTGCAAACTCGGGGGTGGTAAACTGGAAGGAGGGTTCTGAACAAGGGAAAATAATCCTACAGGACAAAATGTGAAAAAGTCACGAAAAGCAGTACACAAAAACCATGCACTTGCAATTTGAACATTAAAAAAAATAGTCAAGCAAAACAACAGTGACATACAAAACTGGAACTGTCATCTGGCAAAAAAAAAAAAAAAATAAAAAAAAAAGAACCATGAGTAATATAATCAACAAATCTAGCTCAAATTCCCAAAAAAATAAAACGCATAATATGCATCTCCCCTCCTGAATGTTCACCATTAATGTGCTTTTCGATAGGAGTCTACTACTAGTATTTAACATCACGGAAGAGAAGTGACTGGAAGGTTTGTTTTAAAAAAAATTGCAGTCCAGACACAGAGAAAAAGAAAAATTTGCATGCAAAATGTTGCAGGGAAAAGAGGTTGCATACTCGAGAAAAAACAATGAAAAACACTGAAAAAAATGCACTGGCCACCCCCCTCAATGATTTCCAATATTTAACCCCTTAATTCAGAGAGGTATGTTTGTAGGGCTTCTACACAGTTTATATTAAAATGCAAGTCTTCCCAAATGTTTTTGAAACCTATCCATTACCCAATGATAAAAACAATGGTCTGACCCTAAAAAAAGGTACCCCCCCTCCCAATCACAATTTAATATCACCCCATGCATCAATCACTTTTTTTGACACTGATGGACAGTTGTGGTCACCAGGCCAACTCTACCATACTGTTACCGAGGGTAACAATGTATCCACATTCAACAATAGAAAACAGCAAAGAAGTATCAGTAAAAAATCACCCCCATTTCAATGCTACAAAGTATTTTGTTTTCAAGGTCACACACTACCTCAGTGACAAGCAAATTGTTGCATATGAAAGAAAGTGAAAAATCAAAAACCAAAAAAATTCAAATTTAAAATGCTAATGATGTAATAGCACTATTTGGCAAATTTACATCAGTAAAAAAAATATATATATAAAGGAATCGGTAAAATTTGGGATCAATCTCAATTAAACTATAAAAAACGTTGGTGGCATATGAATGTAAACAGATAATCAAAGCATTAAGTAAAATATTAATTAAAATTATATCTACCATTTTCGAAAAAAAGGTATGCACACCATATTGGCTCCACTGGCAGTACACATCAATCACATTGGCTGTATATATTGATTCATTAAAATATAACATTTTTGACCAGAGACAAATCTCTGTACTTTATGTAAGCACATGTGCTAATAATTTAGCAAATATGGTACATCATTTGTTGAGATTCATAAATTATTCTGACAAATCGTTACTGGGTTTCACTCAAATTCGGACATATTTTGGAATTAGCCACACCCTGAATAAAATCCCCCACATGTTATGAAGTGTACAATATTTCTGAAAAAATGTACAAAATTTGTAAACTTTAGTGAACCATCAATTATCAGTGGCAGAAAGATGTTGCCACAACAGAGCGTAAGTAAGACATTTTGTTTGAAACAAGCGATCTGACGGTCAAAATAGCTCCTCTGTCATAAGAACATTGTGGTAGCCAAATTGAGAACAAATTGTTCACAAAAATAATGTGCATCTCAAATATCAAAGCAATCAGGTTGGTATCGTTCAAAAAGAAGTTGAATATAGCATTTTTCATCAAAAATATTCGCCAAAAATAGAATTGAAGTTATCGTCATCAAATGAACAAATCTGACAGAGGTCCATCAAAGGTAGCTACGTATCAGAGTAATTGAGCTGCTAGTTTTCAAGAAGAAGTTGAAAATGGAATTGTTGAGAGATGATGGGCAGACAGCGACAGACATTCACCAATATGAACAGCCCCCACTCTGTCATCTAAGATGACAGCGGAGGTAAAAAGTCAATAATTTAATAAAATATGCAAATTATTGTGTGTCTTGAACGTAATGTCACTAACGGTTTGATTTGAATACGCATGATTGACATAAAATCATGCCGTAAAATAACGCTCACACTATAGAATCCCAACAGGAAGCAGCATAACTAATCACATTTCCTACAGTTTAAAGTGAATTGGTTGTCACCTGTGCCAAAGCGTCCATCACCAGTAATTGAGGAATCACAGGAATCGAGTCCTAAGCAATGATAACAACTTTAGCTAAAAATGTAAAGGATCATGGGATAATGCTTATAACAATGACACTCTATGGCCATTTTATGCGTGTGCAGGTGACGACTCCCTCGGTTAAAGTTTCTTGTGCTTTTCACAAACTTTGATGTTAACTTTGGAAGAAACAGAGAGCTTGACTTTGAATGATAACTTTTTAAGAATTTGATAAAATCTTTACAAAACAAGCAGATCACAGAAAGGACTACCCCTGCTATTTTGTCGCGTGAAGCGTTTTATGTAAAGCAGGCCGCTAAAATTCAGCCACATTTGATTTGTTTACCTACCAGATCTTTCACACTGTAGCCACAATATACACGCATCTTTGTAACGGAGAGGACCTCCGAGCACGCTTCCACCCTCGGTTGAACGCTGCTTTTCAAGTAATTCACTGTGTATCACACCATAATCCACAAAAACCTGCAGACTTCTGAAATAGAAATAAAATGTGTTCAGTGTACTGTATTTGCTCCATTAGAAGTGCATGAAATAATGGCCTCACCTGTATACTTGGATCATTCAAATACACCTTTTTTGTTGATAGAAATGCCTCTGTCAATTAAGTACCTGCGCTACTAATGGATCAAATACAGCATTCAAATTGCAAATGTCACATAAATGTCGTATTGAAGGTAAATACCAGCTGCATTGTATGCTGATTTTTTTGGTATTTAAGGTAGTAGGATAGTACTGTATTTTTGCTTGTACAGTAAAACCTGTATTAGAAGCTGCGGCTTCTAATAAAATGTTACAATGCAACAACAAAAGAGATGCGGCTTCTATTAGAGCATCTACACATATGAGAAATGATGAATTTTTGATTCTCAATTCTCAATCAAAGAACGGGTGCAACTTCTATTAGGGATGCAGCTTATAATACAGATTTTACTGTAAGTGCTAGGAAAATGTGGATGTCCAATCATTGCCAAAATCCTATCAAACCCATTTAGAACCTGAATTCTCTGAAAAAATATTATTTTCTGTTGTTTGTTCTAGTGTTTTCCTTTTTTATTTTGACTTTGCAAAAATTCATATAGCGTCTTGATGAGACTTATTACAATGTTGTTGTTTTTCAGGCTTTACATATATTGTATTTTCTAAAGTGTCATCAAGGAAAAAAAGGTTGTGACCTCACATTGAGACTAAACATGACGGTAAAGAAAGTTAGTATTTTAGAAATAATAAAAACAATGAGAAAAAACATATTTATTTAAATTATGTCCAATGTGAGAGTTTGCTCACATTATCAGGTACAAAATTTGAATAATATCCCGATGACATATTCAGATTTTTTTATGCTGATGTCATGCATTTTGGATCTCACCAGAAACTTAGAAATAACATACTGTAAAAGGATTAATTATTCACTGGGTTTTAATTTTGTCTATTTTCGCTGACTGGAAAATGCGCTAAATTAAAACCCAGTGAATATGTAAAATTTAGCATAGAACACATTATCTAAATGATTAAAGCGTGAATTTAAAATCCACTGAATATGCCGGAAATGGTAAATCAGCGAAATTTAAACCCAGTGAAAATTACTCATTTTACAGTAACCAAATTTGAAAAAGTTTGATAAAATATTTCTCAAATACATGTACTTCAGTGGCCAATTCAGATGATGCAAGCAGGGTTTTCTTTTTCAATCATTTGATCTCTCATCATTCAATCAACTAATGTTCAATACCAGATTATTGTGCCTACGCAGTCTGTCTTAGTCAGCAGAACTCGCATCAATTCTAGGATAATAAAAAACAACCTATAGTCCAGCAATGATAAACTATTACCTAAATAGTTTTCTTTTATCATTGGGATGAGTTCCGTCTGCCATAACTGGATCAATTGCTTCTAATTTGCATCGAAGTTCAGTTCCACTCACTTTGTCAAGTTCAATGTTAGAAATAAACTGTCTAAGTTCCTCTCTTTTATTTTCAAGTTCACTTTTCATCACCCCTTTTTTAGTCTCGTCTTTTTCCTCATGGTCCTTTTCTTCAATTTTCACATTAGAATCACCAACGTCCCCCTCAGTCTTCTGCATTTTCACTTTCAGAGCACTCCCGGCTATATCATCGTTCCAACTACGTTTTCCCGGTGTTAGTGAGGGTTCACCTTTTCTGTGAAGTTCTTTGTTCAGAATCAATTCACCCGAGTCTCTGATCTGTAAACAATTTGAAGAAAATGAAATTGAAATTCCAGTCTTTCAAATCAACTTTTCAATTAGGTTGCACGTATCAAAGGGGGTAAAATAAACTCCTTGGAAGAGAAAAGATCACCTTCTATTCCGTGTGAACTGTTGTGCTGTTTTTCAATGCTTGATTAGGTACATTTAAAATAAATACTATGGTAAGGGTTGTTCATTTTGCATCCTTGTTCAGTATTGACAACAGAACCCTGTTACGCCCCCATCAACCAATCACACGAATCCACCTTGTGAGACATATCATCATTTACGACAAGATTACTGACAATTCATCACGGCTCCTGTCAAGTGCGTATTCAGTGACACCTGATAGCGATCAACGAACTTGAATGAGTCGAGGAATGTCATACAAATACATATACATGTGTATAACAAAATGGCAACCAGTCAGCCATTTGAATGGAATCACTAAACAAGATGATGAGCAATTTTATTACACCCCATACGGCAATAAATCTTGTATGGAATTGGTCCAGACTTGTTATCGTCTAAGGTCGTGAGCATGAGCATGTCTGACTAATAGGTTTGGGGCAAAATAGCTGTTGGCCTAATGGCTATCTTTTGACCAGTGGATTGAAAAATCACAAAACACAAGAACATGAAAACAAAGTCATTCAAATTCTGTGCAAACATGCATTTTTCACACAATAATATTAAAACGCAATAATTACCGGTTACTGGTAGCATAGTGGTTGTCGCATCAGACTCATGATCGGTAGACCCAAGTTCAAATCCTACCTTAGGTTGAACATCAAAGGGTCGACCCCTACCCTGGGTGAGTGTGCCACAGACTCAATGGAGATTCATTCACTAATGAATGCGACTTTGGGGGAACCTTGGTTAAGGTCCGCAGGTGCTTGTGTTTGATGGGTCCGGTTGACGCCAGGATAGCGCATTACAAATTGCCATTTGACAGAGAGATGGCCACACAGCCCTGTCATGTAGTCTCAAACATGAATACGACTTCTGTGGCAAAATGCACTGTGTTTCGTCACTAGCACTTGCAATTTGCACATACAAAAAAGTCAGGAGAGACAACAGTGATACCCAATGTCCGGAACTGTCGCCTGGCCCAAAAAATATTTAAAAAAAAAATAAAATAAATAAAACGCAATAATTTGTTCCCGCCAAATTGTTAATGAATCATTTTGCATATTTTCATTCCTTACAATTCTTGCATTACATTTCAAAAAAACACTAAGCAAATACCGCTAGAGCATTATTATAGTTGTACTAAAATACAAAACGTTACAAGATATGAAGACTTGTTTTGTGTAAAGTTACACAAGCTGACTTTGTTGTTTGACATTTTCACCACCAGACTTTCTCACCCAAATGTTTCTGCACATTTTTCTCACATTTTTCAATATTCCTGGAAATGACCCCTAATTTTGGAGCCAATAGACAAAATTTGAGTCAATTTTCACTTTCTACTCAAAACATTTTTCTATTTTTGTCCCAATCTTCTGAAGATTAACTTTTTTTTTTAAACCTATTCATTGGGTTTTTGTTTTTATATTCAGTTTATAGTTTTTTGTTGGTGTTTCATTTTACTTTATTATATATTTCCGTTACTAACTTCAATTTAGTCTGTTTCTGGTTGTCTTTAAACTATTAGCCATTGTAATTTGATTAATTTTTATCTGTAATTTTTGTTGTTGTTGTAACCTTTAACCTCCTTCAGTAGGTTGTTATGAGTTAATAAATTGTTTGTTTTGAAGGGATGTGCAGACTATAAATGGGACTATTTTGTGAATTTGTGAAAAGAGGGAACTGGTGGTGAAAAGGTTAATGGGTGAAAAATTTCCCAAAAATCAAACTTTAAATCAGACTTTATATGGCATGGCACAAGGTCACATGACAATTATTCCAAATGAATAAAAGGCAACATTCTATCTAAATTACAGTATTTTCTTCATTAGTAGTGTCTCGAAATACAAAAGCATGCAAATCAAAAATTTCTTTTGTTGTATTCAAATCAGACTTTTTTTTTACCACAGGCACTGTTGTCATTTATACAAACATTTTTACAAGTAATAGAGTAAACACAGGAGTACAAACGTCCTATCACAATACTGCTTTACATTTTCATTGGAAGTGACAAACATAATGACCTACCGGCATCTCCAATAGTATATTCCAAAGCAGCGACTCGATGTAATAGTTGGTGCCGCCAACGATGATGGGAAGTTTCTGACGTGATAAAATATCATCTACGTACGATGCCAGTCAAGGTGATTAACGAACGTTTTTAAAAATGCAAGCAAATCATTATTTTGTAAAATTCCCATTCTGAGGGATTTCTACGAACGCTAATCAAACTGAATTCTGACTAATATATTATAGAACATAGTGGACGCGAAGTTCTGATTGCACAAGCTGCAATAAGCAAGGTTATGTAATACTAAATTGGTGAATATAAAATAAAATTGTGGGATTATTTCCCACTTTTGTTCGACTTGAAGTGTTATTTTCATCACATATCAGTGGCATACCCTTATCTTATCATTCTAAAGTCATTATTCAAATGAACTCAAAAATTGAAACATTCGCAACAACTGTGTAATTTTCAGACCACAATCACTCGTGGCAGTTAGATAAGACTTCGATGACGACATCGATGGTAAAAAGTTCCCAACATGAAACGAGATTATGGAGATATTATTAATGGAAGCCTAGTGTGTAATAAATTTAACTTACATTAGGTGATTGCACCATGAAAAGATAAACGCTCTTTACGCATCCCATTCCTAGGCCTAATCCCCCAGTATATGCCTCTCTTGCACCCCAAAATATATTTGAGAGAAAAACTATGCAGACATCTGATCATTAGATTGTTTACGCACATTAGCTAAGATTTGTTTATTTGCCCGTCCTCTCACTAATATACCTTGGCCACAGTCCATCTATCCCCGGTCTAGAAACGGTCATTGTATTAGGTGTGAATTGGTCTTCTTCCCTGGCAAAGGCGTATTGCGGGTGTGGGCAAAGCATTGTCACGTGATCAGTACGTGATTTGACATCGTCAGTGTTATGTATTTTTTTTTACAACTTAGTTGTTTATTCCAGAATTCGTACTTTTTCACATAATTTTTTAATCAGGATATCTGTATAAGGTCATATTTTAGCCGGCGAGTAGTTCTTTAATTCATCTATTTTACCAGCAGCGACACATTTT